TTGTTTTAATTTCCTCCAGTTTTCATCAAAGCATCAAAACTTACATGTTTTGCGACCTAAAACATAAAGTTTAGTCCAGAAATGCGTTGAAAAAAAGCATTATTTGATTTTAAAATGTTTTCTGCTATTCCATGAAATTAATTCGCTCACATTACAACCTCACTTGAGAGTTTCACGTCCTTGGTAATGTTTATGATAGCTAAATTGCGTTTGGTTGTAGCCGTCAAAAAAGATCATTAAAAAGCGTGTGGCTCCACCGCCATCGTCTGTGAAGAAGGCTGAGGCCGCGAAAAAGGAACAAAATCCACTTTTCGAGAGACGTCCGCGCAACTTTGCTATTGGTTCGTTTTTCACAGTTCTTCAAAAAGATTCTACAGATTAGCCGTGACATCTTCTTTGCGAAATAATTTTATCATTTTGGTTGCTTGAACTGCGTAATTCTAAGCTTTAAAAAATGTGAGCGCATTTTATCGTGCGAAAAAGTTATGATTTAATCATTCATTGTGATAAGTAGACGGGATGAGCTGGAAGTGGTATCAGTGCATTACGAAGAAATCAGCCTTGAAAGTCATGTTCCTTAGGATCCGTTGTAATTTATACTCCTCTGCGGAGATGAAATTTTGTAATTTCACATTTGGGTATTTACATGATTGGTTTATTTAAAGTAATCATCTGATTTTATTCATGTATAGTCAAATCGACGAATATTCACATTAGTCGACGTGTTATAATTCCCATTCAAACAAAATATTGCAAACTTCTCATAAATGGCACTCATTTTTCACAGTCTGTGACAGTCCTTTTAATTCAGGTCAGGATATTCAACCAAAAAGAGATCTAACAAGATTTGTAAAATGGCCGAAATACATTCGACTCCAACGTCAAAGGTCTGTCTTGATGAAACGATTGAAGATCCCACCACCAATAAATCAATTCCGCACACCAATGGATAATCAAACAAGTTAGTAATCCTGCTTTTATTGCGATTAACACTTATTAGAAGGGTGTGATGTGGACATGTCAGAGTCTGCTAACCACAGTTAACAAAGATTTGCTACATCATTCCAGTATGCATGTGCGATTGGTGTATCTGATAGCTGATGCAATATTTGTCGTATTCATGGAATGCAAGCATTCATCAGTCCCGTGAGTCAGCGAAGTACGGAGCTATCTTTGCATAAAATTAATATTCCTTTAGCAACGATGGAATTCGCTGAAATTTTGATTGAGCAGGTTCAAAATATGGACTAATGAGATCATCAGTGCTGTTCGAATGTGTTTAATTGATTCCGAAACCCTCTCGTCTTTCAATGAGATTGGAAAATAGAAGCTATCAGCGGAATTTAGCTCGCCAGTATCAAACGGAGGAGATGTATATTCGTGCACTTATTCGATCAGCAATTCAATCAATCCTCAATTAAATAATCGTAATTAGAATTCCGTGGAGATGGATAATTCCCCTGCTGATATGTGTAGAGAAAAAGGATATCAGGAAAGGGGGAAGATGCTGTTGGTGATAGAAGAGAGACGTAAACTCGTGAAGAGTTATAATTGATGATTAAATCAATGAGTAAAGTAATGATTCAGTCGCAGTTATTCAAAGTATAGGTTTTGGCTTGCGGTATTTGGCTAATCTTGGAAAGTATTCAGTCTTATCAAACCTTATTTCTTTTCTTCATAAATGGTAAGATAAATGAATTGGTCAATTCTATTCAACAATTTTTGTTTTCCAGCTGGTCAGCTATTCCGTTTGTTGGAGAAGTATCGTCCAGAAACGAAGCAGCAAAAGACCGAACGTCTGCGCGCTCGTGCNAAAGCGCAGCTGGTCGTGATCGCGCACGATGTTGAGCCGATTGAAATCGTCATATTTTTACCGGCATTGTGCCGTAAGTTTAAGGTGAATTTCGCATTGGTCTTGTCTTCCTATCGGTATTTGTTCATATTTATGTGGCGTACCAATATCCGTTCATTTTTGAATTTAGTTTTCTGGACATGATTTGGTTGAGTGTCCGGAAAGTATTGGTTTAGTGCGCATCGTTTAGTCACGATGTGAAATTTTCGATTATTGAAATGTCCCTCCAAGATTTTCTTATAGGAAATTTTAGTTTGGTTTATCAGCGTTTTGGTTAATTTATGAGCAGTAGCGTTGAGTGAACGAGATGAAATGAGGGGTGACTTCAGTTCGAGGGGGAGAAGTGAATAGGGTTGGAGTGAAGCATTGGTATTGTTGAGCTTATGTTGAGATTTAGTCGAACAAAGCGATGTGTTTGATTGCACGCGAAACTGATATGATTTCATCGAGTGGAACAATTTTTTCAAAAATTATCAGCGGTTTATTATTTGGTTTGAAACTGTGTTCTTGTTGACAATCAGCTGTCAGTGTTGATAATCTGCTGTCAGAACTGCTTGCCTCTGGAATGATACCGCTTGATCGGACCGTCATAATCAGTTACGTTCATGTTCAGTGCATTCATCGTTCACGATGATTCATTGAAGAGTAACGAGTAGGATTCTTTTTCAGGTTCCATATTGTATTGTGAAAGGAAAGGCAGCCCTCGGTCGTATCGTTCATCGTAAAACCACATCTTGTCTTGCGATTGTTGACACAAATCCGTAAGTTCTTTCAGCGATTCGTTTGAATGTGTAAAATTGAACTACAATCAACTCAAATTGTTATGTTGTTGAGGAATGAAAGTGTTCTAATTTTTGACTTAACAAATCATGTACGAATTATGCATGAGATATTTCTCAAGTGGTTGGTTAATTCAGTGAGAGCAGTTTTCTTTTTACGATTATAATATCTAATCTGATTGACATCACTCCATTTTCCTTAAATCTACTCATTCATGTCATGAAATGTGATGAATAATCTATTGATATCTTGAATTATACATTGGCGATATAAGAGGAGCATTAATGATAGTATGACTAATCTCTCCAGCTGAGTGATTGTTTGAGCATTTCGGTGAATCTCTTTATTCAGTGTTATTTGACGTGTAGTACTGTTGGTAGGAACAAGCAGACATGTGAATACTTATTCATTTGTTGATTCGCTTGCTGGTTCTCGTCGGGGATANTTGAGTTTGATAGGATGCGTTTGTTATGAGCTCTGAATGCACATGTTGATGAATGAGTGGACTGCGTATAGTGTTTGAATAATTTTTTTCTTGTTGGAGATGATCAAGATAATTTTTTTCAAAAAATTTCAGGGAGGATAGATCGCAGCTGTCACGTCTGAAAGAATCAGCCCTAACGAACTTCAACGAGCGTGCCGACGAGCTTCGTAGGCATTGGGGTGGTGGCGTCATGTCAGCACGTTCACAAGCGCAGAAAGCAAAAATTGAGAAGGCACGAGCCAAGGAGATAGCTCAGAAGGCTTAACTGTGGACACTTTAATAGATTTTATTACTGTGTTATTGTTGTTTTTGTTGATGTTACAGTGATTGAATATTGTCATATTATCGTTGATTTGCAATTGGCATATACGGAGGAGCGCTTAAATAAACTTTGTTGTTGTCATTATTGTCTGGTTTACCTACAAAACTATTCACAATCAGTCCTTTATTTATTCATTTATGCGAATTATTTTCAACTTCAAGTGATCTCGTTAGCAAGTTTATTGTAGTTAGGTGATGAAATTTCTTCGGTAGACGGGAAGCGTGGGGTACTTTTGCGAGTAATTGGAGATGATGCAAGGCAGATGGCAAAGTATGACACAATAGAACTGAAAGAAGGAAGCGCAGATGAGTTGTATTTGTGGATTAACTGATATATGATTACGTTGAAACCGAGGAGTTAGGAGAATGAAACCAAGAGGCAGCCAGGTACAATATAATGGATAGGATGATTTGCGGCTCAAAGTTTCATTGGGATGATTGAGAGAGTCATCTGTATTCAGACTTGTGGGTATTGCTCCTAACAAAGCTGAGCAGTAGTTGTTCTGCTACTTCACTAGTTAACAAAGTAGCAGAATAGCCATTTCGCTAACTTTCGCCAACCAGCGAAATAGGTATATCGTTAGCGTTCGCTAGTTAGCAATGGCGTGCCGTTGCCCATCTCTGGCTCTTAGTATTGATTTGGGAAGCAAGGTGTAGGTGACTCAATCACCTGAAGTCTAGAAAACTTTCAACGACAGGTGATTTTGTGTTCATCTTACTATTACTTGGTTTCGGTTGAATGAAACTGCATACCTCATGCTAACCCCTCACCAAATTCTGCACAACATGTAAACCCGGTCGGGGTATGGCACATTGCATGCAACTGATTCTGTTTTGGCCTGATCCGCTTGAATCCGGTTCCAGTTTAGTCTCAAACTATTCTTAGGCTTACATTTGTATAAGGCTGAGAAGAAACCCGTGTGCACTGCCAAATCGTATGAACACTGAATAAAGTGATAAATGAATAAAACAGCTATCTGACAACCGAAACAGTCAGAAGTGTTCCATGTATGTTCTCTTACATCAGTGTGTATGTATTTTTTATGCAAATCAAATATTGTGACAGATAGTATCTGTCATATCATAGCCAGAAAGCGAATGCGTAAAAGTTTGACATAGCGATGACATTCGAGCAGAATTTCATCGTCCAACCAACATGAAATTTCATCATTACGACTTTCGGGATCCGAATACTGTCGGAATTCCGACGGAACTCGTAAATTTTCATATTTTTCCGAGCGACCGTCACCAGTTTGACGGCAATTTGCAGTGAATCACGTAAATGATGAAAGCACGATGCAGTCAGTAGACTATGTTTGGCATTACTCTTCCCATGTGTCCAACTGAATCATGATGACTTGAATCAGGATGTCACGCGTTCGCTTGCGATAACTCCTCCTCGAAGGATTTTTCTGCTCTAGCAATTGAGCCGTGTAAGTGTGAGTTGTGTATTCGATCAGTGATAGATGATAGGGTGATGGTCCAGCATGATATGGTGATGCTTCAATGCCAACTTCGTCCCAAACTCTTTTACGACGGTGGTGATGAAGAATTTATTTGTGCATATACTGAGTCGTCATAATGAAAGAGTTCAACGGAAGAATATTTGCACTGCAAATATAAAATTCCGTAGCAATTCATTGCTGATTGTGAGATAAATGCGGAATACGTCCAAACAGTTAAACGTCCAAAACTGATTGATACAATAATTTGAAAACATCATCTATAGCATAAAATGATATGATAATGATAACAAGCAGAGATGCTCTCAAGATAGTTACTGCCCTCATTATCATATAATGTTGTGTCGTTGACACTGGCGTTTGAAGCGAGCACATACAAAGGTACCTCTGTCGAATAAGAGAACCATATCACTACACGTTATCAAGCTGGCAATATTGTACATTTTCGTTATCAACACTGTCATCTACACTGCTATCATCACTATCAGATTTTTTTTGATCGATGTTGTTGTTTGGAATTAGCATTTTACTTTGACGCTTCATTCTGTTTTTTAGGTAAGTAGAAGATAGCTGAGGCAATAACTGATTGTCAGTGAAATGGCGTCACGAGCAAATACTCACGATCAGTCACAAATTCGGCAGAATTATCATGTTCTTTCAGAGAATGCCATCAACGAAAAGGTAGAAAGCTTGATTTCTCTTTACTTGATTGAATCTTTTCATTTTCAACGGTGTTTTATTTCTTATGGATGACAGTTATTCGATTAGTTTCCATTAATGTTTGTTCATTACGATTCAATGAAACAATTGCCCTTGCCAAAGATCATGTTTAGTTTCATCTCCTCATTCCAAATTCGATTCAAAAAAAAAACTAGAAAAGATTATTTGTAATGACCTTTTCAAGCTACTCGAAATATCGTGTGCCTCATTCCACAGCTCAGAACTCATTCAGATGAATGTCTAACAATAAATGACGGAGATTGTTTCCATTGTTATAGTCGACCTTTTTGACTATGCAATAGTGATGGCATGCGAGCGGAATTTCATGTTGGTCAGAACTCTCGCAGTTGTTCGATCGGAATCTGACAGACTTTCGCACTTTTTCGGTCGCGACCAAATTGACACTCTCAATTTCCGACAGTCGGAATTCGGACTGACCTTTCACATTGTTTCTTCGGAAATTGAATGTCGGAATTCCGACTGAAATCGTCGTATTTTTCCGACTGACCGTCGTTCGAATGCCATCACTATTGTGGAAAGCGACTTGTTAGTTAAGAGTCTGTTTGTTGGCATCACTGATTCTTTCTCTGTCGCATTCCTTTGGTCAGTGTCGAGCCTTCATTTTCCCCTCTCCTCCAACACTTCTTAAGAACGTGCAAAAAGAAAATTTCAAAAATTTGATGCAACTCTTAAGAAGTCTGCCATTACTAATCCGTCATTGGTATCAGAGAAGTAATTCCTTGTAATAGAGGGAGATTTTTGAATATATTATTGAACATTTATGGAAGAAAACATTATTCCGTTATGGGAGATCTAAACAATTAATCTATTAACGTTATTCACCAAACACTCCTCCTGTTCCTTGCCTAATATCCTCAAACTCAGTCCATCAAAGGCGTAATGACCTTTCCCATGTTTCATGAGAATCACTCTTCTACACCATATATGATTGTTATTTGGCAGATCAACGAGGTGCTGCACAGATCATACACCTACATGAGCATGGCGTTCTACTTCGATCGTGATGATGTCGCACTGTCGAACATTCATAAATACTTCTTGAAGATGTCTGAACACAAAAGAGAATTGGCTAAAACGGTAGTTAGTATATTCTTTATTCCATTCTCCATTTATTGTTCATGTTTTCATTCGTTCATCAATCAGCTCATGTGGCGACGGAGCGCGAGAGAGACGATTCGTGAGGGACATCAAAGAAATATGTGAAAACAACCTTAAATCTGTACTTAACTGTATATGTATAAGATGTACACAAATATCATGCGCTACCGAATCGGATGATGAAACTTGACTTTCGTATATCTCATTTGGAGGATCTCCTCCC